AAATGATATCATTTGAGGTACTGTATGTCACGATTGGACTAATAGGATCGAAGATACATAACTAGGCCCTTTCACGATTGGACTAATAGGACTGCGGATACATAACTCAGGCCCTTTTGACAGGCTGATGTATGCTGTATTTTATTTTTCTGTCTCATAGTATTTGATTGGTTAAATCCTATCATTTGAGGTACTGTACGTCACGATTGTGCCACTACAAACGAAGATACGTAAATAGTGCCCTTTTGACGTGTTGCTGTATTTGATTTCTAAGTCATTGTATTCTTTTAGTTAAGTGCTATCATTTAAGGTATCGTACGTGACGATTGGACTAATATGACCGAAGATACATAACTAAGGCCCTTTTGACATGCTACTCTATTTAATTTTTATACCTTATTGTATTTAATTAGCTAAACCCTTTCATTTGAGGTACTGCACGTCATGATTAGATTGATAGACCCGAAGATACACAACTAAGGCCCTTTTGGCATGTTGCTGTATCTGATTTTTCTATTTCATTGTTTTTGATTGGTTAAATCCTATCATTTAAGATACTGTACGTCACGATTGGACTTATAGAAACGAAGATATACAACTAAGGCCTTTTTGACATGCTGCTGTATTTTATTTTTCTGTCTTATTATATTTTATTGGTTTAATCCTATCATTTGAGGTACTGTACGTCACGACTGGACCAATTGGAGCGAAGATACAATAGGTAGGTACAATATATCATAACCCGTTACTTTTAACAAAACATGATGCCAGAATGATTTATGGATGAAAAAAATATATATTCTTAAATTTACTATTTCGTTGTGGGTAATATTATATTCAACAGCGATGCCAAATTTCTGATGCTAAAATGATTGATAATGAAAGTGGAATATACATTTTTATGTATATAATGACATCGAGTAAACGGTAAAACCCTGAACTAAATATATATAATATTTTCACCGTACCATCATTTTAGACTCAAATATTTTTTGGAATAAACTTATATAACTCAGTAAGGGATAAAAAGAGAAAGCCGATATTTTAAAATACCAACACGGTATCAAATCTCTAATCAGTGAGATGGTTAAAATTATTGTAACAAGTACAGGAAAAAAGTTATTAAGGTGTTGTAAAGTAGCGTCGATATACAGATGCTACTTTGCAAGACGATGCTAAATTGATGGTAAAAGCATAATGTATCGATGCCAAAATGATAGTAGGATGTATATATATATATATACATATATATATACATATATATATATATATATATATATATATATATATATATATATATACATATATATATACATATATATATATATATATATATATATATATATATAATATATATATATAATTAAGCCGCAAAAATAGTTTTTTGCCACATTTTGAAGTTTTGTCACATCCTTCTAGAAGCCCGGATCTTAATCCAATAGAGACACTTTGACACAAAATAAAACAACGCCTAAGAAATAACCCTCACTGTAATTTGCCACAACTGCATGCTAAATTGCAAGAAATACGGGACAGTTTCACCCCTGAACTCTGTGATGGCCTAGTTGATACAATGCCTAATAGACTTCAGGCTGTTATTCGAGCTGAGGCCGACATTACGCCTTATTAATTTTTATTTTAAATTGTTCAAATCCTCTTGTTCCAATAATTAGTTTTCAGCATTTTGGGCTATCATACAATTAATTAAATAGTACTTAATCAACATAAAACATTTAATTAAACTGTAAAAATAATTTCATACATCATACATACATAAAATTCATTTCATACATAAAAATATTAATCAATCAGTAATACAGTTTACACAAATACAGTTTATAGAATATCAAAGGATCAAACTAAGATGGAACAAGACACTTACAAGGCAGCTAAAAAGAACTAGAGGAAAGAAAATTTGCTGGTGATGAAAATGTATGCATTAGATACCGCAGTGGTGTTCCTACAGTTTGTGAAGTTAAACTACAAAAAACTAGTATCCTTCCCATTAACAGATTTTTATCAAAATGTTGGAGGCATTCGTACAAAGATTTCAGAGATCCTGAAAAGTATTTCCTGCTGCTTGTACAATATAATTATTTTAGTGGAGAGTAACTTGAATGATAACATAACTGAGTGTTAAATTAAATGTGATGGTTTTAGTATCTACAGATGTGATAGATCCCAGAGAACCAGTGCAAAGTTGAGTGGCAGTGGTGTACTAGTGTTTGTTAACAATAAGATAAAATCACAAACCATTAGTATTTGTGAAGATCGAGTTGAGCAAATATATATCTTATGTCAACTTAATGTTGGAGCAAATATATATCTTATGTCAACTTAATGAAGTCAAGTTTGTGGTTGGTGGTGTTTACATATCTCCACAATCACCTCATGAAGTATACAACTGGCATTGTCAAACTGTGGAAAATGTTGTTCTGCAATATTCAGCACAGGATATCTATGTTTTTGGTGATTACAATATTTCCAATGCATCATGGGAGAATGATGAGTTTGGTGTAATGGTGCATTATAACTGGGATATAAATAAAGAAAAAAGAATACGCATTGAAAAAGCCAGAGCCGCCTTCTGTAAAATAAAGAAAATTCTAATTAATAGAGATATTACATTAGGCCTTAAAATCAGATTAATACGCTGCTACTTATTCTCCACATTGCTGTATGATATGGAGAGCAGGACCCTTACAGAGATATGAATGAAAAAATTACGATAAAAATTCGAAAGTTACAATATTTCGGTAATGTAATGAGACATCCAGAGAGGTATAACCTTCTACACCTCATAATACAGGGTAAGATCGATGAAGGAGAGGCCCAGGCCGACGAAGAATATCCTGGCTCCGAAATCTCCGAGAATGGTATCAAGAAACCAAATATCATTTTTAGTCTCATTTTTTAAACTTTTTAATATTGCTTTTACATTATAAGTAATTTAAAGTTTTGAATCCTAACTGTGATATTGTATATTGTAATTTAAACTGTTACTGGGATTATCCCGTGTATTAAATAAATAAATAAATGAATGAATAAATAAATAAATGAATATATAAATAAATAAACAAACAAATAAATAAATAAATAAATGAATAAATAAATAAATAAATAAATAAATAAATAATTTCATATTTACAATTAAAAACCGCTAATTTATTTGGAGCCGCCGTAAATAAAGGTATTATTGCCAATATGATCGCCAACGTTCGATAATCGGACAGTGTACTGAAAGAAGAAGAAATAAGATCAATCTGATATATTGAGGGCTATGATATATCATTTATGTGAAATAATTACATGATGTAAACTCCGATTTTAACACATTTATGTAAAAATTTTCAAATCGGTATGATGTAAGAACTACGTATAACAGATTGCCTACCTTGATATGTAATTATACCTTATGTAAATGTAATTTTTAAGCTGTCTAAAATTACGTGCCGTTTTCGCTCTTAGTTAGGTTATGTTATTGTATGTTATTTGTGAAAACATTTACAACATGTATCTATTTCAACTGGGTTACTGGTATCCCGTAACTGTCGTGGCTCTATATTTACCTAATTTCCCTCTGCCACATCATTCAATTCATTAAGTAATAATAAATTTACAAAATCCATTTTTTTCAAAAATAAACAAATAAAACAAACAGGAAGCCCAAAGTTAGGTTAATTTGAATTAGTTGACAGTTCTTCAGTATATGACAGAACCGAAAATAACGTTTTATATAATTTTCTGCTATGGCTTGTTCATTTTGCGCATAGCAACGCAGGGCATGATTTTTCATACCGTTTTTACACATTATGTTTTGAGAACTGTAATCTGATGTATGTTTTCTGAATTTTACACTAGTATGTAATTATTTACGTAAATGATACATCATAGCCCCCATTATCTCATATGGAAGGCCGTAAACAAGTAGATGCAATATACACAGATTTTTCCAAAGCATTTGATAGTGTATATCATCAAATACTTTTGGGCAAATTAATTAATGTAGGCTTTCATGGCAGGTTTGTTGAATCGATTAAAAACTCTACATCTGGGAGAAGTCAAAGAGTCAAGATAGGTTGTCATCTACCTGACAGTATCACACTAACATCTGGAGTTCCTCAAGGAGACTTCTCCACTTCTTTTTAATATCGTCACATAGAAGATAGAAGACATCACTTCCTGTTTCCTAAATAGCAAATGTCTAATGTTGGCAGATGACTTGAAATTTTGGAAAGTTATAGACAGTTTAAAAGATCAAGCCTTGCTCCAAGATGACTTAGAGAGACTACAAAATTCAGAACAAATCTACTTAAACCCTTTACCCTCACTCAGGAACCGTCGTGACATGTCAGGAGCTATATTTATATATAAGATCATACATGGATTTATTGATTGTCCAAACCTGTTAAGCCAGATTAACTTTAATGTTCCCCATCAAGCGATTTTGTTATTTTCAATATAAATTAAACTCAGTTAAAAAGATCTCTTGCTTTGTGATATATATTGGGATTGTTGAATTTTGTTCTTGTTATACTTTGTTTTTTTAGTATGTAACATTTTTAGTCTCATTTTTTAAACTTTTTAATACTTATTGATTTTATATTATAAGTAATTTAAAGTTTTGAATCCTAACTGTGATATTGTATATTGTAATTTAAACTGTTACTGGGATTATCCCGTGTATTAAATAAATAAATAAATAAATAAACAAATAAATAAATAAATAAATAAATAAATAAATATATAAATAAATAAATAAATAAATAAATAATTTCATATTTACAATTAAAAAAAATTAAAATAAAATAATTTCGGTAAATTGGTATTTTATTTGCCAAATAACTGCTTATTCCAACATATAGTTGTTAGGGCTTGTACCAAAATATTATATTCAAAATTAACTAATGATCTCAAACACTTCTTTATTATCATTAGTAACTAGAAACAAAATAATTTTTTCATTTTCATTTGCAATCTGAAGTACACATAAAACATACCCTCCTCTAGAATTTGAAAAAACATATTTTTATTCCTCCCAAATGCAGTTAATTGTACTGTTTCCCATGGTGTCCCCATATGTAGGTCCAGTGTATGCTGCTCTCTTGTACGTTCTACTCTTATCCAAGTTCTGCCATACCTAAAATTAGATAGATAAATTATAATTTTTAGATTTATATAATGTTTAAAGTAAATTTCATTTATTTTTATCAATATACATTTACAGTTTGTGTACTATGTATATACTAAAGGTATTTAGGTATGTAAATATTTTAAAAGGCATATAGGCATTCTTTCTTGTTTCTCTTATTCTTAGTACAATGTCAGAAGAAGAATTGAGGTTTATTAAAAAAATATTCTTTCATTTCTTTCATTCTTTTATTGATTTATGTGTTGCCTTTTAACACATATTAATGTACAGTATAGTATTATCCTATTATTTTAATATACTGATGAAACTCAAATAACAACCACAGACATTTCTTTCCATAATTATTTAATTACCCTGTTTTCCTTCAAAATATTATAAATTTGAAACAATTTGCTACAAAAGTTGTCATCAACTATTTTTGAATTTTTCAAAGTCATCAATAACTGAAATTTCAAACAGAACACCATTAAAGGCAAGAAAAATTAGAATAGCTTATTAGAAGTCCAACAGGTAATAAGAGTATGGTGTTGGTATGTGGTTTTTTACAATGGACCATTAATCATACATCAGTCACATATCATATTTATGAAGTCAACTTGTAGTAGTGTATGTGTTAATATGTTAAGAAACAACACAAAAGGATTTGCAAGTTGAAAAAGCTTCAAATTGTGGTATGCAGGGAAAAGTAAGACTGGGAAATAAAGTCTGTATAGGTGGATATTCCTAAGCTAATGTTATCTTCATTTAATCAAATGTACTTGCCTAAAATAAAGTCGTTGCAGAAAAACATGTCAAAAATATTGCCAATATTATTTTAAAGTCCCCTACTAGAAAATGTATAATATATTATGTCTCATTTTCAATATGAATGAGGCAAAGGCAAAACATCAAAATAAATGTACTTTCAACTGAAATTATGGTTATTAATTCCCATTAAAGATAGTAAATAATATTAAAATACCACAAGAAATTAGCTTCAAACATCTTTCCATAGGATTTTCCATGTTACTAAGGTAGATGATTATTATTATTATTATTATTATTATCCAGATCTAAGCCATAGGGCTCACATTCTCTCTAAGCAGAAAATTTACTGATCTAAGATACCAACAGTATCCAAAGGATCGTTTTCTAGTGGGATTCTTTTTGTTATCCAGCCCAAAATTTTTTTTACACATTTGGATGTTGAGAGTAGTATGTCTTTCTGTATGGTCTTATAGAGATGTTCATTATATTCTCTAGGAAGTTCTTCGGAATGACTCAAGTAGGAGAGAGAATAATAGATATCATCTGGGTATTTTTCATTGTCTACTGTCTCCTTATTTGCATATCCAGATCTCTGTACTTGGCGATCTTTTCATTGTATTTAACACTCAGATGATTATTGTTAAGTATCGCCACATTTAAATCTCAACGATTTGGCCATCTTGCAGGTTGAAAATTACAGGCTGAAACTTTCTGTGGCTATATTTTAGAACACGGCACTTGTCGAGTCCAAAGTGCATGCTGACACTATTCAAGAAAATTTCGACAATTTTTAACATCTGATCTAGGGTTTCAAGTGGAAGCCATTAATTTCAAATCATCCATATACAACAAATTAAGCTTTGCCACAATAGTGTTGTTATTTTTTATGTTAAAACGACTTAGTTGATTTCAGGAGCTGAGATAATGGGTTCATAGTTATGCAGAACCACAGAGGACAAAACAACATAGTCCACTTGGAAAAGGCCTTGATTAATTGAGATATCTTCAATTTCAATATTGTTTTTAAGAGCTATTTGAAGGTGAATTTAAGTCTTCCCCTCCATCATTATATGCTTTAAAAAGGTCACTACATTATCATCAACTTTATATTTATCTCAATATATCTATAAGCCATTCATGCAGTACTGAATCAAAGGCCTTCTGGTAACCAATAGAAGCAGTAATAAGGTTCCTTTGTCAGTACCACTTTTGATTTATGCTTGGTTAGAAATAACTATGTTGATTATAAGTTGTTCTTTACAGTAAATGGAACCCTTAGCACATCCTATTTGTTGCAGCTCTTTGATATTATTTAGAGTATAATGTTTGTAGATATGCTGGGCGATACAGGATGTGACCAATTTGTGCAAAGTTGGAAGACAAGTAACTGAGTGTTACTTGGCTGGGTCTCTGATGATATTTTGATCCTTCAGTGTAAAATAAGTGGTTTCTGAGTAAGTAATGGTGGTATTTCCTGTGGATTATAAATAACATGATTAGTCAATATTGACACTGATGAACACTCCAAAATTTCTTTAGCTTCTTTTGAGACTTCTTCAGTGGTGAAGGGTGCGGAAGTGCCTAAAAGCATAGTGTTGACAGTTGTTTGTCAAATATATGGAAAAGAACTAAGATTTGACCAATTTACAAAAGTGATTCTGATAATATAGCCAACTATAGACCTATTGCAACAATTTGAAATTTTACAAAACTATTGGAAATATCTATACATGATGTGATTTAGGTGTATAATTTATATGATTTTCATTATATAAGTTATAGGTGACTAACTTAGCCTATATAACCCACTTTATTTAATACTATAAAATATATATAATTTTATACTAGAATAAAGGTCCTATGACCAAGTACCACAGATAGAAAATATATCACCTGATTTTAGAAGATGAAAAATAAATTTACATTCCAATCATAAGAGAAATATAAAAAGTTGTTTTGGTTTTACAATAATTGATATTCATTTAAAAAATACCAAAAATTCATTAAAATAAAACTCACCGCCTACCGGAAAAAGTGTGTTCCTATACTGGGAATAAAATCATATTTGGTCTTTATTAACCCACTGTCCTTTTGTTCAAAACTAGTTTCAACACTTAAATGTTGTGTCTGTCTGGCACCTTTTGATGTCATCCATTGTAATAACCATTGATAGGATTTATCTCGACAAGGCACTTCTAAAGTTATCATATAATGTCTTCTAAAAAGGATTAGGGAGCTCTGGAATGCTTTTCTTAATAAGGCTGCACCAGCACCAACACCAAAAAGACCAAATCCAGCACCAAAATAAGGATTATCGGACAAAGTGGAAATGAAGTCAGAAACGGGCATCTTGTCTACAGAGATTGCTTTTTATTTTGATTTTCACATATTTAACTAATTACTCTTATAGTATTTATCCTTTATTCTGATTCATTAATAGAAAGTAAAATAAAAGGACTTCTTCAATATTGGTGCAATGAACATAACCTCGTTGATATGTTTGACGTTAAATGTAAGCTTAATATACGTCAGTGTTGCCATATACTCAAATATTTCCCACTCTCACATATAAAATTATTATGTTTTTTAAAACAAAATGTTTTTTAAAACATATATATTTTCGTCAAAGTAATGTGAAAAATACATAGGTATATAATTCATTAAAATTATACCTATAAATATTATAAAATAAAATTATATCTTGCATTTCTACATTTAAAAATACTTATATAATAAAAACCATTAAAATTATGATTAAAAATTAATAGTTTAGAAACTTTATAAACTACAGAATAAAGTAAAGTTAAATGAAAAAAAATTAGGTTAAACAAAAGTATTTAGCTATATTTAAAATAAAAAATACTATTTTATGAATGCTTTTTAATATGAATTCAAAAATTGTGGCTGTGGCGTGTACATTTTTACATTTTACAGAAGTAAAACACTTCACATTTACCTAAGTATATACCTAAATACAAATGTGAAGCATTTTACTTCTGTATAAGTTTTTTAAAGCATATATAATTTCGTCAAAGTATCTATTTTAAACACTCCTATACTTTATACAAAAAAAAGTGGCAACACTGTGTCACACAAACATATAGCTGGATGCCAGGTTATGTTCATTGCACCAATATTGAAGAAGTCCAAATAAGATAACCTTCTAGAATATAAAATAAGGTTATGTTATATTCTTCTTCTTATTTTTTAACGTTAAGAACAAGGACTACGCTACGACAGTTCATCCATGTAAATTTGGGGGTGGGTATTGTGAATTGTGATATATTATACTCGGTTCGCTATTCCCAGTCCGAACTGTCTAGCGAATTTAGTAATTATTTTTTTGTGAAGTTAGTTACTTTTTGACAGACTAAAAGTGGCTGGAAATTACTATACAACCAAGCACACGTACTCATAGCCAATATTAATAGAAAACAAACTAAATAGTAAATAAAATATAACTTTGCGAATTACCAACAATCAATATTTATTTATCTGTACCATATAATAAATAGTTATGTTAAATTATAACAACTAAAATATATTTTTTAAATATATACTACTCAAAATTAGATGGGTTTAGTATACACTCCCACTATTTAGAATAATTCTTCTTTTTTCAAAGAAAGAAGTCTGCAATAGTAGTATATTTGAGATATTAATACTGAGAAGTAGGAATTGTTGTCTTGTAGGTTTCCGACAATGAATCTGTCAAAATGTGCCCGAGCTAAGCGAATGGAGTATACCACAATATTACTCCAGTCGTCAGAGACGAAAATACCCCTGAACCTCTAAAAATAATACGAACACAAGCTGAATTTTGCCAAGAATATTAATTTTGGGATCCCAAAACACATGCAACTATATTTATCACTTCTACCCCCGGCTTCCCCCTAAAATGCATGGGTAAAAACGCAAAAAAATCGATTTACCAAGAATTTGTACACCATAGAAAAAATATTTCAAATAAAAAATGTAACTGAGATAATTTTAAACAAAAATGTTCATAGGCATTTTTTGTGTAGAATGAACTGTTCTCTTAGAAACAACGATTGAAGCGACCGTCGATTTTGCAATGTCAGTTACGCGCGCGAAATCAATGTTCAATAAAATTTTTATCAGCTCGACGGCTGATATCTCGACCGGTTCAGTACCTTTTGATTCAAATGACCTATCGACAAAAATCAAGATGCGTTTTAAAGGTAAAGAGTTCAGCTTTCATATGAAGTTTTTGTATTTTGCCGCAAATAATCTCTGATTTTATACAGATGTTAAATAAATAAACGTGGCGTGATTTTTGCCATTTTTTATGATTCTCACGAGATCAATACCATCTATCATTTTCATTGACTGGCCACTATGAAGTTTCGATTTCTAGAGCCTAATCTTTAAAACCTATAGCATGAAATTTTAGTTTTGAGTTCTGGCAACAAATGTAAGGCATTTGAATTAAGCTTAAAAAACGCTGAATTTAAATTCAATTACACCTAGTGTTGATTGTATCAATGTACATCAATATCGTTCGATGGAATAAAAGTCCAAAATTATCAACAATAATTTCTATTCAAAAATTACAGGCAGTTTTAAAATGAAATAATTCTAAAGCATATATCGGTGGTAAGTTCACAAAGGTACTGACTTTACAATCTTTTAAATTAATATATAAACAAGCCACATTAAATTTAATTACACATTCTCGACGTGAGATATAAACATAAAAACCACGTCGCTCTAATATTTAGAATAAACATCTTTTTGAGTTTTAGAATAAACATCTTAATAAGCAATAATATTCGACTTAAGCCATAAATAATAAAATAATCTACTGAGTGTCTCTGACATCCTCCCACCTGAGGCAAAGTTACAATAAGAAACGTGACTCACAAACAATCAGAGACAACAACATAAACAATAAAAGAAAACCTACTACACAAGAAACAGAAACAATAACACACAAGAAAATTAAAACATTCTACAAGCTAGTTCATAAAAAAGTCAGTATATCTAGCAGATGTTTTAACCTTACGCCCACTCCGCGTAACGTAGCACGTATCACTTTTGTGTGTTTCGGGTACTCTGCTTTTAGGCACTCCCGTCTTCGCGTCATCACACTCGTTTGCACTTTCAACCGCGCGCACCTCAACTTCTTTCCACTGGGCTCGAGAAGAGATGCCTGGGTCGTTGTTTCCCTCAGAGTCCAAGTTGTTCGAATTGCCCTCTCTTCGGATAGAATTGACTGTGCATTCCAAATGGTACAAGCGTTGCACAGGTCTCAGAAATTGTCCCCTTTCGGTATTAACTCTCACAAGTCGCACTTGCTTATCTTTTCCAGGAAGAAGTTCGACTACTCAACCAAGTGGCCAATTGATTCGCTTATCTTGATCATTGCCAACTAAGACCATGTCACCCACTTTAACTTGTTGGCTACTTCTTCCTTTAAACCATAACTTTAACTGGCCTAAATACTAGTTGCGAAACCTTCGTCGAAGATCATCAACCAGTTTTTGTCTGTACACCACTTTCCTAGATAGAGCCTTTTGGTCAACAGCATCACAGTCTGGAACCCCACTCTCTGTCTGGTCTCTAAGAAACATCATGGGTGTTAAAGGTATCAAGTCGTTTGCGCCATTAGAAGAGGTAAGTGGCCTTGAATTGATGATGGCTTCGCAATCGCAAATTATCGTCATTAAACTTTCGTAGTCTAGCGAGGCCTGTCCTAACACTTTGCGCAATAACTGCTTCAAAACCCCCACAACTCTTTCCCAAAATCCTCCCCACCACGCGGCCGTAGTAGGGTTAAATCGCCATTGAATACGTTCGACACTACTGCTCTCGGCGATTTTCTCAAAGTCCACTCGAAGAAAGGTATTTTCAGTACCAACAAAATTGGTCCCATTATCACTATAAATGCTGGAGACGAATGCTGAGAATACCATGGGTGGCCCGAAGAACAAATGAATCCATACTGGTCCAGCTAAACATAAAGAAAAGACTAAGAACACAAATAACAGAACAGATAATAAGCTATTTTGGACATGTGCTTCGAAGAAATGGTCTTGAAAAACTTACCATCCAGGGAAAAGTAGAAGGCAAAAGAAGTAGAGGTAGATCTCCTACACGATACACGGACCATATTGTTGCTACCATTGGCGCTCCATTGTCAGAATGTGCTAGATTGGCAGAAGATAGAAAAACGTGGAGGAACATTGGAAAAATTACCTAACAGCTTCATGATATCACGATACCTGCATCAGGTTAACGACTAAGAAGAAGAAGAAGATCACTATAAATAGTCTTTGGATGACCCCGTCGGGCAATAAAGCATCGTAAAGCCTGCATAAAACTAACAACCGATAATGTAGTACAAAGTTCAAGGTGTACGGCACGATACACGGCACATGTGAAGAGGCATACCCACACCTTTTCCTCAGTTCGCAGATATAGAGTGCCTGCGAAATCAACCCCTGTTATTTCAAACGCGTTGGCATCTCGAAAACGATCAACTGGCAATGGAGGTGCACTCACGATAAAAGGTTTGGCATTTTGTCTCTTGCACACGACACAATTGGAAATTGCAGATTTTATAGTCCGACGTCCTCGTAGAATCCAATAATTTTGACGTAATCTGCTCGTAAGTCCCTGTGTCCCACTATGACATGATTTTAAGTGTTCTCTGAATATAAGCTGATTGACCAAAAAAATGTTTGGCAGGCAAAACTATGGGAAATAGAAAACTTTTACAGTCGCTTCTGTTACTGATCCGTGACTTTAGTCGAATTAAGTCATCATCATCTTTGTAAACGTCCATGTCACATAGTCGTTTATCGTTCTTATCGCAGAAGGACTCCTTTTGCACTATACTTCGAAAGAACAAAAATTTCGGCTCGGTCAATTTCCTCGGAGCATAAGTGACCTCTGAGTCGATCTTTATTTATAGATAAAGTGTCATCCAGCTTATTCCACTTAGTTCCCAGAACCACGGTAAAAATGTTAAAGGAATCATTTTGAACTTGGTGAGTAAACTCCCACCCTCTTAAGTCGAATTGTCCTTTAGACATTATCATATTTGCCTCTTTGATAAAGGTTTCAATTCTATTTCACTAGCAACACTAGTAACACAGTTGTCCACGTAAAAACTGTTTGGACAGTTTCTTAACAGTGTCTGTAGTAAAAGAAGCTTTCGAGTCATACTCATACACAAGTTTTGACAGATGATATTTTAATGAAGCTCCCAACAAGAACGGGCTACTATTGATTCCAAACACTACCCGTCGATGACGAAACACTTTAAGGTTGTTCTCCTTATCATACCATAGAAATCTACGGAAATCTCTGTCTTTCGGATGTACACTGATCTGTAGAAAAGCTTTGCTAATGTCTGAAGTTACTCCAAATTTCTGCTGTCTGAACCTCAACAAAATAGCGGGAATTAGCTCAATTAAATTCACCCCCTTTTCTAGACACTGGTTCAAAGAAGGGCTATCCTTTTCTCTAGCTGATGCA